TCTACGCCGACGTCATCCTCTCCATAGTCTCCGGTGATAATTTAATCCGATTTTCATCCTCATCATTCTCTTCCGACTTACCTTTCTCCTCTTCTTCCCCCTCATCTGGCGAGAATTTCCTTTTGATTCAATGATTGGTTTGTCTCCTCGATTGTCAAGCACATGTCGTTTTCTAAAGTCATCAACTTTGAATAAAGTTTCACTATATGATGGTCAACTGATTTTAAGTACCAATTCCAGAAATGTTGGAGCTTAAGATTTGATGTATGTATGAATCTTTAGTGGTCATTTTTAAAGACAAGTTCTTGTTGTTGGTTGATGAAATGGTATATGAAGTGGGATGTAACCATGCTCAGAGCGTTGGATTTTCAACAGATGGATTTGCAACAAAGAACCATAACCGAAACCCGAGGAAGACGATTCCGATGGAAACTTTAGGTTTATTCCGGCGATGGAATATTCCGGCGAGACCACCGGCAAATATGATCCATCCCGGTTTAATCGGCCTATGCAGCAAACCGTTTCAAAAGCAACTAACCAAGAAAGAAGTAAACTTTGAAGAAGATCAAGAACAGAGCAAGCTAGTGTTATCGAAATCGTTGGAGATAATGAGCTTAAGGAGATTTGTGATTTTAGTGTTTGGATGTTTTGGAACAAAGATTGTCGTGAGATTTGTTTGGCTATTGATACTATAAGGCTTGCTGTGAGGAAACAGGTGAGTAAGAGGATCTCTAAAGCTGTGTTTGATGATGATGATTCAGATTAGTAGTGATCTAAGGATTGATTAGGGTTTTTGTGAATGGAAAGTGTGAGTTTTTTTTTTTGTCAAGGATTTTGATTAGGGAATCTTGAAGGAGAAGTGTAGAGATGATCAAGGATCGTATAGTTCGGGGTTTTTCTTGTTTCTTGAGAGAAACGTATAAATAAAGGATTTTTAGGGTTTTGATTTGACTCTATTATCAGTTGTTAATGGAGAAATGTAAATAATCGACAGAGACATGATTACATATGGAAACATTTGGTTTTTGTATTTTTCTCTGTTTGTATAATTCTTCAAAAGTCGCGGCTTTGCTTGAAACACAAGTCATAGTTCATTAGTTTTGCATACTTGATTGTACCACTCTTCGCATGTAAATCAAAAACCCTTTTTCTCTGGGGAAATGATTTGTTTCGATCTCAGTTTCATCATATAATCCAAAGTTTTTACTAACACACCAAGCCAAGTCCAAAACTGAAGAGAACTCATAGACAAAGAGAGTACTTACTGAAAAGTAGAAAGATGTTTATTGCATAATACCTAAACATCTCTATACTAAAACGACATTATGCAATAAACATCTCTCTACTTTTCAGTGAAAAGTAGAGAGTACTGTTGACTCTATTACACTTAAAAGTCTTGCAAATCAAATTTGGTGTATGGTTTGCTAGATCAGTAAAGTAGCATCAGAAGTTCATACGAACAGGTTTAAACAAGGCTTAGAGGAAAGCTTTTTGCTTGCAAATTTTATTGCATTTGGACTACCGATCCTAAGTCCTTTGTAAGCCCTGGGAGATTTATTATATTAGAAGGAAGAAAAGAGGAGAAGCAGAAGCTGAGTATCAGATGATTAATGGATAAAGAAGGGCTAGCACAAGAGTGTTATAAGAAGATAAGTTTTGTTAGAAGGCAGTTAGAGAAGTTAAGAATGAGTTGTTTTGGCCGTTAAAGGAGTCTATTGAGAGTCTCTACTATATAAAGTGTGTCTCTAAGTCATTTGCATTCATTCAGAAAAGTAGAATTGGGAGAGAACACTTTTAAATTTGTCATTGGATGATAAAAAGAGTGATTTCTTACAAGGGAATTCAGAAGTGTGCCTTTTTACAAGGACAACTCTGATTCAAGATTTTATTGAAACATAATTACAACCATTGAAGATGAACAACAAAGCTCCATCCCTAATAAGCTCACGATATCCATTCACCACATGTCACATAGATATGCAACATATTTACCAAAATAAAGAAACTATATGCGAAAAGAATCAAATGAACCACAAATGAAGAAAACAAACAAAGAAAACAGCGGAAACGC